TAATCTAAATCCAGTTTGGTACCACAGACTTTGGTACTTGTTAATCATATGCCAAAAAATTATAGTTGACAAAGCTGAGGACACTTGCAGAAGGTAATACCAATTTCTGTAGAAATTAATGCCTAGGAATTAGCAATGTAATCCAGTGGGTGTTTCCTTTGAAATAACAGTGCCATTTGCAATCAGTGTACTTACTCCCAGTTTAGTGTACAATAGACTAACATTTGAGAAGAATTATTGCCATTTGATAGTGGAGGGTAGAGCAGAATGTTCTGCTTTCCTTACAGTTTAGGGAAAATATTCAATCATTCAATTCAGTTGCTTAATAAAGAGTAAAACCTGCTCCTGATTTCCAGCGTTCTGTCCACTAGGCAAAGCCACTGGATAACTGACAGGGGCTTGTTTTAAAAGGTGACAGAATCATTGTATTGCATTTGCATTTAACCTGATCATATTTGATTATACCCCCATTTAAAAGTACAATATGAAGGAGGAGGCAGCTCTAACCATGCCGAACACAACATCCGGAGTTGCCATAGGACTAGACCTTAGAGGAACACGTGAAGCACAGCAAAGCTTCATGCAGTAGCTGGGAGGAAACGAGTGGGAATCCTTCAGGACCTGTAGGTCTTCTTTCCTAACATTTGCTCTCGAAACAGCTCGTATCTTAGGATGGGGCACGGAGCTGGAAAATGCACTCCTACAGTCTTTACACTCTTAACAAGATGGCAGGGAATGGGAACAGGTCAGCCGTGCTGTTCCGTTGCTGGTGCCTCTGCTTAGCCCCATTGGCTCTTGTTCGGGGAAGGAGGAAAGGAAAGCCAGCGGCTCTTGAGGGCCCTTGGGACTTCCTTGCTACTGCCAGGAGGAGAGGCAAAGTGGGGGGGAAAGAAGAGGCTTTGCTGCTACTCGAAAGATCAGAGAGAGAGAGAGAGAGAGCGCTGCATCGATGCCTTGTCCAACCCCTCATGGGCACAAGCGCTGCAGAGCCAGTTTGCACTGGAACAGGAGTCTGCAGCAGGGGAGGAGGTGCCGGACTTGGATTCACGCTGCCTCTGAGTCCGATGTGCTCCTCCATCCTGCACTTCCGATGTAGCGCTGAATGCAGTTCGTTTGGGCAGAAGGTCACTGCCGCTCCTCCCTTCCTTTCGTCCTCCTCTCAGCCAGCCTGGGGGTGCAGCGGCTGACAGCTTCTGAGAGAAGGCGGCCTGCGCCCGCTCCGCTGGCAGCTTTCGCTCTGACTGAAGAGCGGCAGATGGCGGCAGGCGGTGGGCGGAGCGGGCGGCAGAACTCATTCCGCCACCCCTGCGGCCTCCTCCTGAGCCAGCGGCTCGCCTTGCGGCGGGAGGGAGCGGCCCCGCTCTTCCAGCGGTTCCTCCAAAACGTCGCCTCGCCCAAAGGCGAGCGGAGCGGAGCCTGGGTCACACGTTTGAACTTCTGTAACTTAGTGCAGCTCATTCTGCCTGACTTGCTTCATTCGGTTGAGTAATCATTATGTAAGTCCTTACAGGCCAATAAGTAAGCCTATTAAAAAAGACAAAAGGACTATGATCAGATCAGAAACTTTGTAGCAAATGACCGAAAGACTTGATCTCTCAGTAGCCGGCTTTCTTTGCCTCGGCAAGCACATTCAAGGGTGTGCATTTCTGTCCAGCATGATATGTTACTTCTCATGGCACCCCGATGGAGAGATTTTGGTTATGTGGTACCCACTGGCTGGGTTCACACGTCAGGGCAGGCAACCTGCAGGGTTTCCATGGTTTTTGTTTTTTGCTTGGATGCACAGGAGAGAGGATGGGGCAGCTGCTCAGGCACCCTGCTCCAGAGGGCACAAGAGGGCAAAATAGGGGCAGGGGCAAGAAGTTGGGTGGAGCGGTGCAAAGGAGCAGCGCTGCTCCGCGGGTTGCCCCATTTCTGCCTGAGAGGAAGCCTGTCCTGCATGAGCAGGGGAGAGAAGATCAGCCAGGCGACAGGCCCCGCTGGCAGCACTGCCACCCGGCTGATTCCCCCGTCCTGCTTTTTCTCAAGCAGGAGTGAAACCGAGCGAGGCGCAGATGCCCCCCTCGCAGCAGTGCCCCACCCAGGCCAGGCTCTCCTTCCCCGCTCTTGCCTGAACGCCCTTCTCCCAAGCAGGAGAGTGGAAGGGGGAAGCGCTGCCTTCCCTTCATTGCTCCTGCAGCTCCTGGGGAGGGTTTCTCCAAAGCAGGAGTGGGAAAGCCAAATCAGCCCAAGCCCCCTTGCCGGAGAGAAAGGTGTCTCTTTTGGGGCATGAAAAGTTGGGCTCCACCACCATCCAACTGGGCGTGAGAGGCTTCTTCTCATGTGCGTAGGGGGGTGGGGCAGCTGAGTGGCACTGCCCGTTCCAGGCACCGTTGCCCAGCTGATTCTCCTTCTCCCACTTGTATGTGGGGCGGCAACCAGTTGAGCAGTTCCTGCCCCAAAGGGACGAAGGCAAGAGCAGTGGGCACAGCTCTGGCAGCCAGCGGTGGCAGCTGTCGGTGGTGCTCTGCAACTCGCCCCTCAGCAAGAGCAGCACAACTGCCTTGCCCAGAAGGCCCCTTGTCTGGGCTTCATAGCATGAAGCGTTGTGTTTTCTAGGTTCAGATAATACAACAAGCCGCCACGGTCCAGAGGAATCATATAGCAAACCCTTGTTTTTCATTGTGGTTTACAAAGACTAAACGTGCTGTTCAGAAATATCACAACTAGGTTCCAACAGCAGGGCAGACCGACATGGTAGCAAACGGCTGCGGCTCGCGTCATGCAAACCTGCATATTGTCTCTTCATCAAAATGAAAATTCACGGCCAAGATACCACAGACCATAGGCATGATTCCAGAAGTTAGACATGGATCAGTGTGAAGTGTTTACATAATTCATGATAAGGCTGCAAAAAAGCAAAAGCTATTTTGGGCTGCATGGATAGGTGTATGCCTTCCAAATCACGTGAGGTTTTGGTTCCCCTTTATTTGCCACTAGGTCGGCCCCATCTTTAGTACTCTGACCAGTTCTGGGCACCACATTTCAAACAAATGAAGAAACAAGCTAGAAAGTGTTCAGAGAAAGGTGACAAAGATGATCTAGGGACTGGCAACAAAGCCCTAGGAGGAGAGAGTGAAAGAACTGGGCATGTTTAGTCTTGAAAAGAAAAGCCTGGGGGAAGATATGATTGCACTTTTCATATGCTGGAAAGGCTGTTGCGAAGAGGAATGGCAAGATGGGCCTCTGCTACGGGAAGCCAGCTTGTGGCTGGACAGCAGGAATAACTTCCTGGCGGTGAGAGCAGTATGGCAATGGAACCAACTACCTAGGGAGGTGGTGGCTTCTCCAGCACTGGAGGCATTCAAGAGGCAGCTGGACCACCATCTGTCAGGAATGCTTGAACTTGGAGTCCTGCACTGGGCAGGGAGTTGGAAGGGGCCTATAAGGCTATCGAGTTGGATGGCCTGTAAGGCTATCCAACTCCACTGCTCTATGATTCTATGATTCTGCTTCTAAACAAGAAGATACTAGTATTAGTCATCATTATATTGCGTTACAGTCATTGAAATTTGTCACTTCTGTAAGAAACAAGCGTTTCTCAAATAGGTCTCCTTGGGAAAATCCCAGCTACAACCTCCTCCTCTTTCTCTTTGTTTCATCTATTAGATTCATCATTAGCCTGTGAAAAGCATAATAAGATTATCAACTCAGAGTGTTAAAAAGACTATGGAGATTTGTGAAAGTCAGATCCAAATCCTAGATTAAATTCTTAAGTACAATGGAGCCAGTGCTTTGTTAGGTCTGTAGTAGGAGAAGCATTCATAAAACATGTGAAGCATAAAGTGGAAGGGCACACAGTTATTATGAAGAAGGAATGGAGCATTCAGTAAAATGAGAACGAGAGAGAGAGAATGAGAGAGAGAGGCTTATCACTCACAAGTAACCCCCCAGGGAGTCATGTGGCTAATGGGTAGGCTAAAAATCAAATAAAAATTAAATTAAATTATTAATACATAGCTGTCTGACCTGGGCTGGCCAAGATATCTTGAAGCATCAGATAATGGGGAACATTCAGATAATGGGGAACTTTTTCTACTACCCCATATAGTCTGACATCTTGAGTTGTATTCAGAAGTCTTATCATGTGTTCTGCTTCGACTTTCTGGATGGACATGGTGAACCATGCCATGCTGTTGCAAGTGGCAGGTGAAGGCACATTTATTTATTTATTTATTTAAAACTTTTATAGGCCATCCCATTCCCAAAGGCTTGGAATTGTTTAACAATACAAAATGTAAAACATTTAAAACACAGTGTCCTAAAATTCAGCTAATAATAAAACCCCAATTAAAACAGTCAGGTCTTAAAACATTGAGAAAATAAAAAGGTTTTGGCCTGGTGCCAAAAAGAATAAAGTGACGGCACCAAGCGAACCTCTCTGGGGAGCAAATTCCACAATTGCCACCACAGAGAAGGCTCTGTGCCACCACAGAGAAGGCCCTTCTCCAGGCAGCCACCCTCCTAATCTTCAGGGAGGTCACCTGGAGAAGGGCATCTACCCCAGATCTTACAGGGTGGGCAGGCACATATGGAAGGAGACACTCTTTCAGGTACCCATGCCCTAAGCCATTTAGGGCTTTATAGGTCATCACCAGCACCTTAAATCAGCCTGGGCTTCAACTGGAAAAGGACTGGCGTTATATGTTCATACCTGCCAGTCACCGTTAACAACCTGGCAGCTCTATTCTGAACCAGTTTATCTTCAAGGGCAGCCCCACGTAGAGCACATTACAGTAGTCCCATCAGGAATTCTGAATGCCTTTGCCAGCTACTGTGACTGACACAGTTGCATTCACTTAATGACGATGCTGTTCTGTTTTCATTCACTGTATTGTTGGCACCTACTGGTAAGTGGGTTTGGATATATTTTATAGATAAATTGCTAATACCACTATAAATGCAAGCTAATTTGAAGTTGTTGATCACATGTTAATTAGAGTTTTGTCTTTCAATCACAGGAACGCAAATTTCCTAAATTTGTATCCAAAGAAATGGAAAACATGTACATTGAAGAGCTAAAGTCATCAGTCAACTTGCTAATGGCAAACCTGGAAAGCATGCCAGTGTCCAAAGGGGGCTCTGAGTTCAAGTTACAGAAGCTGAAGCGCAGTCACAACACCTCCATTATTGACATGGGAGAAGAAAATGAAAACCAGCTTTCCAAGTCTGATGTTGTGCTGTCTTTTTCCCTGGAGGTAAACAGACAAGTTTCATTCAGATCTGTCAGACATGTTGGCAATGTTCAGGTTTAGTTTTTCTAAAAACCACCAGTAATCAATCGATCCATCCATCCATCCATCCATCCATCCATCCATCCAGAGTTTGATTAGAGTCTGAAATTAAAAGAAAAATGAGCAAACAAGACCCAAATCCCCCAGTTAGCCAAACAACCATTCCTTTAACATCTCTTTTGATTTGCACTTTTGGTTACTCTACAGCCTAACAGGATGTGTAAATGTTAAGTCAATTAACTAAATGTAGGACTGTTTCCTTAGTGGAAAAAAATCTGATTCAGGGTTATGAGAGGGCTTCAAAAGCTGTTCATCCTGATTTACACATCTTAGATTTCCACAATGTCTCAGAACATTATTCTTGTGCAAAAATATGAACTGCATTTGCTGTCTGGAAACCTGAGATGCTAAACATGCTTCACCTACGCATTGAAAATATTATGTAAGATAAACTAGATTGCAATTCATGTTCCTTTTCCCTTTCTTCACCAATCATTTACTTTTGTAAACAGCCCTTGTGAAGACCAGCTATGGGAAGATCCAAATGTTACAAATAATGTAAAGCTATCGCCACCCCGTGTTGTGTTGTGCCCTTCTCCATGCCAAGCTCAACCTATCCTCTTTCTTGATATCATTCCACCTGTGCAGTCCTGGTCCACCAGTAGTAGCCAGTGATGTGCAGATGAGTAGAGCAATACACAGTCTAATGGTATCCAGACATGGGGATCTTGAAACAGGTGTTACAAAGTGGAAAAAGAAATTTGACTTGGAGTTTCCCATTGTTGGTACTAGTTCCTTATTCAGTGTAATATGTATTTTTTCCTTCTTACCCTGGCTTCAAGTTTAAGTAGCCATAATCCAAATTAAAAAGTTACCTGAGCAGCATGGGAGCTTTGAAAGTGTGGATGCTTCCCATGACATCTTGGTAACACATGACTTGAGCCCACCTGGTGTGGAACCCAACCGGTGGGGTTATTCCTCACACCAGCTTATGGCATAGGAAGCAACCACATTAGTTAAGCCACTCACAGAGTCCCCTCTTTGAATATTGCGATGGGGTCATGGGGAACAGCCGTGCATGATACAGAAGTTTCCCCACCTTTCTGTTTTCATCTCATTTGAGCCCTGCATAACCTGGAAAGAGTGTCTGACTTACTGTAACATTTTCATGTCATAGTTTCCTCATCTTCATTTCAGTGAACAATAAAGTTTACATGGCATATTGTAAGAAATGTTGATCTGTTTGGGTCAAAAATAGGTCTTTTGCTAATGCAATATTCATTAGAGTTGTTTCACAGGGACCGTCTTTTTTTGATACTGGTGTCTGAATTACTTAATTGTCTTTCTTTGCATGCTTTGAATTAGATTACTGCTAATTAGAGGTGTCACCTGCAGTTTTCAGTGAGACTTGATTTCTAAGTATTAAGGAAAAATAAGAAAATTACAGGGAACACAAATCTTGGTAAAAGGTCAGCTTATGTTCCCACATAATTTTAACGTTGATAAATGCACAGTTTGTTTTTATTGAATAATGTGGTGTTTTTTGCTGTTTGACATTAAGAATGGACTCAAATTCAAAAGCTGAAGTAGTGCAACTAATACCACTCCCTCCTAGCTTTAGTTGTTTGTATGTTTCTGCATGGCTCCATCATTCAACTTCAGACAAAAAGATCCAGTAACACAGATGGATGGAGTATCCATTATTCTGTAAAAGTTCACTCATGCACACAGGTTCAGAGTGGCCCACATCCAAATACACCCACCATGCCTTCACCTCTTTTCTCATCCTCTGAGCCTCATCATGGCAAACCCATCGGCGCTGCTCCAAAGCTGAGATTACCACAGGGGAATCCCCATGGCGGGGCCACCATGCTTCCCACAAGCCACAACCAGCTCCAAGCAAAGTGGCTCTGAGAGCAAGGCTGATCTTTCCCCTAATCAACAATAGGCTGTTATTGTAACTCACACTCCAAAAGAAGGAAGCCTGTGTGGGGTCCGGAGATGAGCAAGCAAGACTTTGGTGGAAGTATTTTTGTGCTGGGAAAGAGCGGGAAAGATTTTGGTCTTGGTGGCAGGGCCAGGGAGTGCCACAGGCAAACAGCTGATGCCACACTTACACAGCTATCGATCTAGATATAGATCATTCAGTTAATTCACGGACAGACAGTAGATCAGTAAATTATCTAGAGATTCCCAAGAGATTCAACAGGGATTCCTGCTTCCTGACATTTTAACTATACTAGCAAAAAATGACTCCCACCCCTTGTTCTAAATGATGCTGCTAGATGAGCAAACATAGAAACAGAGCAAGTCAGAAGGGGTCTCCCGGGCCATCTAGTCTGACCCCGAGCTCCAGCCAGCTCTGCTCATGACATGCCCACCATTGGGGAACTTGGGACACCTGGAAGGGATTTGTTGAGGGGAGGGCACAAGGAGCAGGAGTTCTGTTACTTGTAACAAATTGCTGTGCTCAGAATTATTTAATTCCAAGTGGTCAGAATTATTTAATTCCAATAGACTGTGTTTGATAGATCTTGTGATTCCGGCAAAGAAATAGCTCCCACAAGCTCCACATTTGCCAAACCTCGGTCTAGCAGAGTAGCTTCACATAACCAACACTGTCTCAGAAGCATTATAAACTGCTTTTGTTTCCAGGACATCCTCCAAGATACTTTCCTTCTTTTTAATAGGTCGTCATTATGGAAGTTCAGGGACTCAAATCCTTAGCACCCAACCGCATTGTATATTGTACTATGGAAGTGGAAGGAGGAGAAAAACTACAGACAGATCAGGCTGAAGCTTCAAAACCAACGTAAGTGTTTCTTGACCTCCACTATACTGCTTACTCTTCACTAGCCTAGCACAAGCGAGGAAGGCATGCACGGTTGATTCTCATCTCCGCCTTCTACATAGGGAGTGTACTTCTGCATGCAAAATCAGCACTCTCCTGTGAATTAACGGATCCTAAGCTATGAGTCTGCAAGGGCTTATAGCATGTGTTTTAGTTTTCTTGAAGTTAGTGAGACATATAAGTACTTAGAATACAGTATATGCTGAATTGCTTTGCTGAAATGAAAACTGGTGAACTCAAAAGTAGCACAAATTCTTGCTGATTCTGCATTCTGTTCTGCGGAAGAAATTCTATTGCAGTGTGACCTAAAAACTCCTAATTATTTCACCCTCTTTCCAGAACTTGTAACTTGTTTTGAATTATCTTTTGAAGAGATAGTTAGGAAACATTCCATTGTAGGAATGCATTCAAATTTCATTGTGATACTTTTATGATCATAATTTGCCCTCTTTGCAATCCTTAATACAAATAGAAGTATTTATTATCAGGAAGAGCTTACAATTTATTGAGGTTGCAATCGTGTTAACACACATTTAAACTGTAGATGTTAAAATACATATTCTTAATATACACATCTCTCATAAAAGGCAATAAGCATTGTTTTTATCCTGCTCGTTCTATTTTGTAGCCAGATTTTGCAGTCAGGGCTCCCTCTTCTCTAATATACTAGGTGCAGAAAAGAGCTATTAACGAGCAATCTTGGATACCCTTCAGCTAAATCCTAGTTGTCATTTAGGCTGTCGATCAATAGTGCATCAGTCTAGACAAGGTTCTAAGTAGTGCTGTTCCTGCTGCATCCTGATTTCTTTTTGTGCTGCCACTGAAAATTGCAAAAATGTGGAATGTGGGCTGACTATTAAGATTCTAGTCATTCAAAATTCTTCTCTGAAACAGGTGACATATTTCAATAATGAGTCATCCTGTGCCAACTCTCAGGCTGGGTTCAACTAATATTACATATTCTTGTGATAGTTGCATCTTCGTGCTGTTTTAAACATTTGACATCAAGCCAACTGTGTTTGTGCAAGCCGTTTTGCACCAGAACCCTGATGCTGCATGGTTAAACTTGAAATTACATGTGTCCGTACACCACCCCACAGAGATTTGGTATTTCTGTCCTGTGCATACAGGTTTGTCTGTTTGTTTTATGATTACTACAAATGCCTCTCAGCAAACCAAATATGGTTCTACCAAATTTGGATGAAGCTCTAAAATTTATTTGGTATTTTCTCTGAAATGACAACTGTTGCATTAAATAGTTGAAGCAGTACATGATTTGAATGGAAGGATGGATTTTCAAGGCAGTATTGATTTCTTTAAGAACAAAGAAAGGCCTGATGTGTTCCATTCCTTTGTGATAGATTCTGTCACTTTTGCTGCACCCAATATATGCCTGCTGGTGGCCTTCATTTCTTTGCCTCTCAGTGAAATGACTTAGACCAATCAGTCTTATGGGCTAATTTATTGTAAATCATGGCATTCATAAACTCTCAATCCCTTTTTCTGCTGCAACAGATCCTGCCCTTAAAGCAAGCATGGAATGAAGATCCCTTGCTGTTAAAAAAAGGCTATGATAAGATGTTCTTCATTTCCTTGACAAGCTAAACGTTTTGCAAGTTTTATTTCCATTGCATTTAATCCAGATCAACTTTACTTGCTAGTTCTAAAATTAGGCAGCTAATAGATAATGCATTTTAATTTCACAGAAAGCAAATTCCCACAAGAAGAGAACGAGCATCACAGGGAACAAGGCTATAATAGTGTTCACTCCTTTCTGTGCTAGCTTTCTGGATGTTTTCCGGTTGGTTGGTTGATTTAACGTAAGGAATCCCTTAAAAACTGTGTTTTCCCTACCTCAGTTTGTAAGAGGTACAGTCCATTTTGCAATGGCAATACTTCACCAGCCCCTTCGTGTTGTTGTGCAAGCCAGATCCAAGCGGCTTTGAACCCTGACTCAGCTCAAGGCTGGATGTTGGTGTACTTTATCATTTGTTCATTGCAAGAGAGGCACTCTACATGCTTTAGTGGCCTGCTTAATTATGAATTTTCAGAAATCTCTTCTGATGTTTACTTCCAATTTACTGGCATACATTTCCAAAGCCTCTCTTTTTCATGTCTGATCAGCTCTTGTAAAGCAGCTATCTGCAAGCTGCTCACAGGCCCTTTGATTGAATCGCATTTTGCATTTCAGCTTTGGAGTTTTTCTTTGTTATTAACTTGAACAGCAGCAGAACATGAAAGGAAATGTTTTCTGCCATGGCACCATCAAGTAAGCATCTAATTACTAAAGGTCCCAGAAATGAGAGCCATGACAGGCTGAAGCCAAAAATTTGCCCCATATTTACCTTCTCTTTTTTCCCCCAAGGGAACAAGAACTAAAATAACCTAATTTCAAGAGACCATACCAGTGAATGGCTCTGCCATGTCGGGTTCGCTCTTCCATCAGAATCATACCTTTCCCCCAGAGACCAGGAGACAAATTACATGTAATGTGAATTGCATAGTGTGGGGGTAGATATTTATTTACTCTAGGAACTAGATCAGGCTGGAGGGCTGAGGTAGGGCGCTAACCTTTAGCTTCTTGCTACACAAATAGTAAAACATGCAGTAGCTATTCTTTTTATTCATTGTAAGCCGTCCTGAGATGTTCTGTAGGGGACGGGATAGAAAAGCTTATTATTACTACTACTATGATGACTACTACTACGAATCTGAGGCCACAAACTTATATATCCTTATCTAGAAGCAATTCCCACAGAATTCAAGATTGCACTGCAAAGTCTCCAGTGAGCTTCCATCCAATATAATCATTACTTTTGAGAAATAGTTTTGGGTTATATTGCACTTGTTGTACTTTGTGTATCTGGAAGAACAGAGACAGCCAACTGCCCTGGAAATGTTCAGGAAGTGCTTATCATTTACTCCTCCCCTTGAAAATCGACCACTTACTGCATTCGGTCTTTCTTTCTGGGTCATCACTCGGAACCATGGGTAATTTAAATACAGGCTCTGAAAAGCTGCCTTATGCTGCCCAGCACTGCTGGCACAAACTGGCAGTGGCTCTCCAGTGTAGCAGGCAGAGGTTCAGTCCTGCAGTCCTTGGAGCATCACATAGCCTGGTGTTAATAAGCAGACAGAGGGAGAAGCCCTGCCGAAAAAGAATTAAGGTGGCTTCTGCAAAGATAAGTCTGGGCTCATCAAGAGTTCTTTAAGAGTGCCAGTAAGCATGTGGACAAGGACAAACCATTGTGTACTTGCTACTCTAAAAGGCTTTTCACCAAGCCAGTCAGCCAAGACTCCTGAGCAAACAAGCCAGTTGTGGAAGAAGGGGGCGGGATCCTCTTACAGATCAGTAACTGCTTAGTGAATGGAGAGCAGAGATTAGGAATAAATAATAATTTTATTGTATTTAAAATTGCCAATATCATACAGCGCATATGCAAATCCTTGCTGCAACTAAACTTAGCCGTCTGTGTACAGTCTCATCACTGTACTCAACGGAGGATATAATCAGGTGCAAACATGCGGAAAGGAACATTTAAGGTGGTTAAGGAGTCGAAGCATCTCCCCAATCAGAAAAGCCTTTTATGCTGCAAGATTTTTAGCTTTAAAAAGGAGAGTCGGGGGTCAGAGGTGTACAAAATTAGGCATGATGAGGACAAAGTGGGAAGGGAGACATTCTTCCCCTCTCCCATAACACTCGGATCCAATGTCATCCCATGAAACTGATGAGTGGGAGATTCAGGACAGATAAAAGGACGTACTCAGAACACATGGTTGCATTGTGGACTTCACTTCCACAAGGTAAAGCGATGGCACCCGTTCGAATAGTCTTTACAGGTGGACAAATTCATGGAGGAGAAGGCTATCAATGGCTACTTCTCCTGGAGGGTTTCTGCTACTTCCAGTATCAGATGCCGTATGCATCTAACACCAGTTGCTGGGGAACTGGCATGGGCTGGGGGGGGCAGGCGGGGGCGTAGTGGCTGCTTGGCCACTGTGTGAATGGAAGGAGGTCCCCTGAGTCTGGTCCAGCAGACTCTTTCCTTCTTCTTCTTTCCTTATTCACTATTTTGAGGGGGTGGGGTCAATAACCTCCCCACAAGCCAAGTATTTCCCAGGTACCATCTTTCCCAACTGTCATTACCTCTCTGTATTTGAGAAAGTGCTCATTTAAGAGGTAGCTAATTTTCAGTCTAGAGTTTCCATCTATCTTCTTAGTTTTCTAGGATGTGTTTCTCTAACTTTGATGGGATTTCAGAGATCTTGTGTAAGAACTTGTTGTTTAAGAATGGCAATGCATAGAATATTTTAAAGGTCACATGGCCAACATTTTGCAGGACTGAAAGCATAGCTGAGAGTGACAGATTCATAGCTGAGCATGATAGATTCCATGGATCATCCTTACTTGTTTAAGAGAGAGGGAAAAGACCTTGGCAGTTTCTTCATTAACTGTAAGAGATAAAAACAACATTAAAAAGTGCATTGAATATAGTGTCACTTTAAATTTTTGGCCTGAAGGCATACTGACTGCTGATGAAATTAGTGATGGGTGAAAAATCCATTTTGTTCGCCTTTGTATGTAAACTTAGTAAATCCACACCTTCCAAATATATGCACAAACTAGAATGTGGTCATATAGTGATAGTCACACTTGTCTTGATAGTTTATTTATTTATTTATTTATTTATTTAAAACATTTCTATGCTGCCCCCATCGCAACAAAGCCTCGGGGCGGCTCACAGAGAATACATACAGATTTGGTAGAGTAGGATATCATCATTGGAAGAGTTCTCTACTTTGGGACAAGGGTTAGCTCTTTCCATGCATTACTACCATAGGCATGCCCCACCACTCTGTAACTACAGCACTGCCATTAATAAGTAACAAGAATGGATGATGGGAGTAAGAGTGAGATGCTTTTCTTTCTTTCATAATGCTGACATTTGCTTGCAATCCTT